CCTTCTTTTTCATTAAGTACTTAATAGCAGAATGATTTGTATGCACTATGCAATGAGTTCCAATTAAATATGATCAAAATTTATCAAAAGCATATATTTTTGTTAATAACTCTTTTTCAGTTGTTATATAATTAATTTGAGTTTCATTAAGAGTTTTACTAACATAGTAAATTACTTTGAAAATTTTAACATATCTTTGTCCTAAAACAACTTCAATAGCATAATCACTAGCATCACACATCAATTCAAAAGGTTTTCCCCAATCTGGTGAAATTATAATTGGTGCAGTGACTAATTTTTCTTTTAATAATTCAAAAGCTTTTAGGCACTCGTCTTCAAAATTGAAAATTGCATCTTTCTCCAGTAAATGGCATAAAGGCTTAGCAATTTTTGAAAAGACTTTAATATATCACATGTAGAATCCAGCATGTCCTTAAAAAGTCATAATTCCCCTTACATTTGTTGGATAAGGTAAATTAGCGATCACTTAAATTTTACCAGGATCTACTTCCATGCCATTTACAGAGAAGAAAATTGACCTGCAAATTTTTTTGGCTAAGTGTGGGGGAGAGTCTCAGATTGTATTAGTCTCCACCTCCCTTACCCCTCTTTCATTTTTGCGTCAGGGGGACATGTTTAATGCCCCACACCTTAGAATTGTAACCTCTTCTTGATTTTAATAGAAATTTTCATATTTTGCCAATATATATATATATATATATATATATAGTATTTAAATATTACATGTGCTACACATTTAATTGCTACTTTTAATTTGTTTTGCTACTGAATTTGAAGCATTTAATTTCAAATGAATTTTATGGTTATTTTTTTTCATTATACTGTCATTTTTTTATTTTTATTATGATTACACTGTCGTTTTATTTTTTGTATTCAAATGAACATTTTTTTTCTTGCAAACTTTTCTGAATAGAAATTCAATTTTTTTTTGCAAATTTTTGGAATTTTTGAAAGGTTAATATTAAGGGTCAGTGATTCAAGTGCTAACTTTCTTTTGTCCCCTCTTTGAAGAGCCAACTATGTTGAGATTTTTTTTTTGGGCGGTTACATACATAGCACCCATACCATTATTTACATTTATGTTACCCACTTTCATCCATTTTTAAAATTATCACTCAAACATATATCATTTTTATATGAAACAATTTTTAAAATAGCATTTTTAAAAATTTTTATTTTTAAATCAACACACAAAAAAAAGTTTTTGAGAATCGACAATGTCAAGCGGCAAACCGTTGACGTGCAGAGTCGCCTGGCCATGGGCTATTTGCAAAAATAAATGTTTCTTAATATGTGGAATTGTTATAATTTTTTTTTTTTAAAATTATCAATAAGTTGAATGTCACATATGTGTATATATATTCTCCTACTTTGTGTTAATTCCTCTCAGCGGAATTTTTATTTTGATTATCCTTTTAGTTGATTATATGTATTCCGATTGCATGGGAAAACTCACTCAAAAGTAATACCATTTAAACCATCATCAGAAGAAGTGCAAACTGATGCATTACTTACACTGGTATATATCATGAGCATCGATCTTCCTAGTTCGACCATCTGCTAAACCACCAGATACTTACCACCCTATGCCACCTAACGAGAGGTTAATGGTGTATATACAGTTTATACAGATTTTCTATTTATTTTTTCTCATCCTTTTTCTTAATTTGAGTTAACTTGTTGGAAGATTCGCTGCAGGGCATGGAGAAGATGTTATTGCAATGCAAAAAGGTTACAGAGCTTTACAACATGGTGGAACAGTCACTCAATATTGATTATAGCGGATTCAACCAACCAACATAACATACCTCCCGACGATCAACTTTGGACATCCCACTACAATCACTTTTCAAGATGTTCGACTGTAGATGCTCCAAGAAGATATTTTGCTTGTATTGGTACTAGTCCCTCAGCATATGATGGATCCTCAGCATATGTAATACCCTCAACATATGCAAGACCTTTAACATCATATGAGGTTTTGACATCTTGATTATCATTTTAGTTCGCTCTTCAACCACACCATAGAAGACATTATTTTTCTTTTTTTTTTCAGACTTGTTGCAGTGACAACTATTATTTTAATGAAGTCTAAAGTTATTTCGATGAATGTACCGTTTGAATCTTCCTATTTTAGATATTGAATCTTAATAAAATTTTTAATTCATGTTTACCTATTTTAATTTTAACAATATTCAAATAATTTCATATTTCTTTTATTTCAATTAGCTCAATTTTATTATTTTAAACAAAATAAATAATACAAAATTTAATTAAGTTAATATTACAAATTTCATAGTAAAATATTTTTTATTTTAAAATTTATTATAATATCGAAAAATAATTAATTAAGTATTAGTTGAATTTTTACGTAAAATATTAATATTATGAATTAGTTTAAATGTTTAAAATTTTTAATAATTAATATTTTAAATACATAACACGGAAAAGAAAAATTAATAATATTTATTAGTTTAAAATTTAAAAGATAAATATTAATTAAATATTTTTAGTTAAACGCAAAAAAAATTTTACCTTTTTATGAAACAATTTTTTTTGCATTTAAAAAAACACAAAAGTTTTTTACATTTTTACCCCTCTAAATATTTATCCTTACCTTTTACCTAAACATTATACTTAGCTGCTCCTTTAAACATTAAGCCCCTTTTAAAAATTTATTTTTCTTCCGTATTTATATAATATGGTACGCGCCCAAATTTTTCGAGACCCCTCCATTAAGAGTGACCAACTGAACATGGGCACAGCCGCCCATGTGCTCGTATATTTGACTTGTTGACTCGAACCCCGCTCTTTAAGATCACACTGCTCCCGTCTTTCATACGCCATAGCAATTTCGTAGAGCAAAATGTACTGCTTCCGCATTCTCCCTATCCTTATCTCGCTCTCGCTCTCAGCGACCGCCGCCGTAAACTCGCCGGCTCCAGCGAAATCATCCTCAAACCCATTCACCGAAAAGGCTGCAGTTCTCCGTTACTGGAACCGAAAAATCCCCAACTCTTCTTCTCACCCACCCTTCCTCGTCTCCAAGCTAACGCCGCTCTCCATCTCCGACGCCGCCAAGTTCTCCACCCTTGCTGCCTCGGACCCCTTCAAGCTTTCCTCCAGTCTCCCTTCCTTTTGCTCTGCTGCCGCCCTGCTCTGCATCGCTGATCTAACCCCATCACTTGCCTCTCATCCCCGTGACTCCGCCTTCTCTGTGTACCAAAACACCAACTTTACCAATTACGCGAATACCGCCGGCGGTGGCCTCTCTTCCTTCAAACGTTACTTCGGGAATGAGGTCCCATTAAGCACATTCACCCGCTACGGTCACGCTTCCGGTGGCCACAACGACACCTTCGCCCACTACGGCCCCGGGAACGTTGACACCGGTGCCAATTTCACCTCATATGGAGCCACTTCCGCCGGCGGATACGATAAATTCAACACCTACGGCAATTCCACCAACGGCGCTGCACTAGGGTTCAAAAATTACAACACCGAAGCCATCGGCCATATAGGCGAATTCTTACATTACTCCGACGATTCCAACGTTGGACAGCAGCTCTTTTCCAGCTACGGTAAGGGCGGCAGTGGCACAACATCCGACTTCGCCACTTATGCCCACAAATATTCCAACATAATTGAAACCGGCTTCAATCATTACGGAGAGAAGGCCGTCGGGAACACGGATAACTTCAAGACCTATTCCGAACACGCCAACATCCCCGACAATCACTTCGAATCGTACGGATCTGGCGAACTCGGTGGAATCGAAACATTCACCACATACCGCCATCAATCCAACATCGGCGACGATTCCTTTACTTCCTACGAGAAGGGCGGCAACTACGGCACCGCAAAATTCAACAATTACGGCAATGACAGCTCGGGCACCGATGCCTTCAAGGGCTATGGCTTGGCTTCCACCAATGGTCAAATCACCTTCAATTCCTACTTCGAGGACAATACAACTTTCGAACTCTACGCGAAAACCGGGATTGACTTCAAATCCTACCACAATTCCTCCTCCGCCCAAATCCATACGGAGTCGAGGCATCCCGAGACAAATCGGTGGGTAGAAGATGGGAAGTTTTTCAGGGAAAGCAGCCTGAAAAAGGGTACGGTGATGCCAATGCCGGACATTCATGATCGGATGCCTCCGCGGTCATTCCTTCCGCGTTCGATCGCTGGGAAGATCCCATTTACCGTCACCGCCGTAACGGAAATCTTCAAGTTCGCTCCTGGAACAGCCATGGCAAAGTCAGTGGCTTCAAACGTCCTGCCGAGCCGTGGGGAGACGAAGCGGTGCGCCACGTCAGCCGAGGATATTATCGACTTCGCCGTCTCTGTACTCGGCAGCAAAGTTGAGGTGAGATCGACGGCGAACACGAAAGGCTCTCGCAGTAATATTCTTGTCGGTGAGGTGAAGGGGGTGAATGGGGGTAAGGTTACCGAATCGGTGAGCTGTCACCAGAGCTTGTTCCCATACTTGGTTTACTACTGCCACTCTGTTCCTCGAGTGCGCGTTTATGAAGCTGAAATCTTGGCCATTGATACCAAGGAGAAGATCAATGATGGAGTAGCCATCTGTCATATTGACACGTCGGACTGGAGCCCAGCCCACGGGGCCTTCGTGGCGCTGGGTCCCGGGCCGGGGAAGATCGAGGTGTGCCATTGGATTTTTGAGGGGGACATGACGTGGACGGTCAGTGATCTTGCATGAGCGATGTAGCCATTACCCTCTGTTCTCTTATCCTGTTATGGATTATGTAGATTCCCCGCGTCCCAGGCAATCGAGATTTGGGGCCGACGCCACTCTCGCATTATCAGTCCCGTTGGCATCAGTCCGCTGTAATGTCTTTTAATAATAAATATATTAGCAATTTGAATTTTGTTGGGTAGTAATAATTTTAAGCGTTGAATTCTAAATTATTGCAGGGTGGCATGTGGGCTTCACTATTTTTCTACATATATTTTTGGGGCAGGACAAAGTCAGTATTTTACGGTTTTTTACTTTATTTTTTAACTAATATATTGTATGGAGCAGGGCTTCACTTTTAAAAATAAGGGAAAATTTTGGAAAGGAATTTAACGTAGTAAAAATTTATATTTATTCTAAGAATTATGGAGTAGCAAAAAGTCCATTGATTTGCTTTTACACTAGTTATGAGATTGGAGTCATTCTCTTGGCATAACTACTGCGGTATATTCCACGTTACACTTTAATTTTTTGCAATACAGTCCCAATTATTTCGTTGATTTAAAACTCATATATATTTTTTGTTTGGGACTTTTATTCATAGCTTCATTGAGAAGCTTATTACATCAACACTTGGGTTGAGTTTTGTGCGAAGCATATAAATATTGTATAAATTAAAATATAAAAAATGCTTTGGAAAAGTATGTTTAAAATTATTTTATTATCTTTATCATATTTAATTAAATTTTGTTAACACTAGAATCATTTTTATTGGATTAAATTTTCCATTAAAAAATATGGTTGGACAATTACTTATTTACTTGCATTATTTCAAGCTGTATCTTAGACCCCGTTGTAGGAAAACTTCTTCGGTGGCGTGATGTGATTCCCCGCCTCGTCAACTAACGATCATCGGAAACTGGCTATCTAGCCACCTGTGTTCTTCTTAACATCCTCCTATTCCTCAGAGTTCGTTTCTTATTCGTTTGTTATTGCTTCACACTCTCCTTTGGCTGGATCCCTACACTGGCTTGGGACTGGCTCATGTCTCACTCAGTGTCCGGCAGGATTTCCTTTTCCTCTCTGAAAAGCTTCCGTACTTTCTCTTTCATAAATAAATCAAGAATAGCTCTATCACAAACCCTTCTATTGCCCACATTTTCATGAATATTTTCTTGCTTTATTTTGTTTAACAAATCTAATTATTTTTTTGCCATGAGATTTTTCAAATTAGGCAAAATTTTCTGAATTCAAATTTTGAAATACTCTTCATATTTACCTACCTATTTTTGGAAAGACTTCAAATTGTTTCCAAATATATATAATTAAAAAAAAATCAAAAATTGAAATTATTCATATATTTAAAAATTATTTTGCTTTCTAATATTTTCTCCATCATTTAATTAGTTGAATTTATTTAAATCAATTCAATTGAATCTATCTAGAACGTGCTTAGTCGTCCTCCCCTTTTTCTTATTTTGAATAATTTAATTGCTTTAATTAAATCAATATAATTAAGTTAAGTGATTAAGTTAATGCATCTTGATTTCAAGTTAATTTCATATTTGATTTCATCATAAATTTAAAACTAAAATATTTTCTTGAAAGAGATTTCTCTTTAATTCAAACTTTCATTTATTTTCGATATAAAATCATGTCCAATTAAGACATGTATGGCGAACCCATTGAGGTGAATATTTTCTTTAATTATTTTCAAATCTTCATTTCGTTCTGAACAAGAAATCATCCTATTGAAATTTTGTCCAAAACAAGTTTTCAAGAATAGCTTTACCAAACCAAAAAATCACTTAATTAATTGTCTTTACTATAATTTCAATCCTCCAATATCTAACTAGATCAAATTTCATCTTCTCTTTCACATATTTCCAAACTCTTTTCTCTTGAGGAGATATGCAAGGAAAATTTGTTTCTGTTTTATTGCCTTCTTCTCTGAATACTTCTCCATCTTAGATCATGTGGGTAAACTAAAACTCGAGAGATCGAATGATTGTGGTAACCAATAACGGGAACAAACAAAAGATGTGTATAGGAAGCCTTCATAAAACGAATTTTTGCATTGATAGTTCCAAAGCATAAATATGAAGTGAGATCAACTCAATCTGCTTTTAAGAAAAACACAATTGCGGGGGAGGCCTTATGAAAGCTAACTACCAGAGAGTTCAGTTTGATATGCCTATTCTAGGGTTCACTTCCTCTTATAAGGACAAATCCTTATAGTTAATTACATCATAAGTAGTCAAGAAAACTTAATAAAACTCCTGCTTGAGGTTAAAATTTGTTCTCAAAAGTTTAAATGTCTTTGTCAAGTAAAGGAGTTCCTAGGTCCTATCATAAGGGTAGTAAATTCTTAAAGATTTTTAACTATCCTAATTTTTTTTTTTGTTTTGTTGTTGATGGTTCAATTGACATTCATCCTTTTACTTTAGGCATTGAATGTCTGTCCCTGCAAAATAAAGTTAGCACACCTAATACATGCAAAGTAAATCTGGGATGATGTCCACCGTTTATCTTCTGCAGCTCTGCAAAAAAAAGTCAGTAGAAAATTATATTTTTATTCTTTAAATGTGTTTGTTTATTAATTTTTAATTGTTAGACAACTCGGTCAAGACGCCCATGACTGTCGTTTTGAGGTCATCGGGTACCCAATTTTCTTAGTTTGAAAGGTGGTCAAACCTACTCTGACCGAATGACCCTTGTTAGCAACCATAGATTGTGTCGTCCAAGAGATCTTCATAGACCCAAATTTTTGGGGTTCAAGTTTCATTCGGTCATCTTTTTTCATTAGTGTTTTATTTAAGTTTTAATATCTTTTTCAGAGTTTGAGGGTGTTAAGACTTATTAGTTGGCTAATGTTTTTAAATTTGCCAATTTGTGTTTATTTTTGTTGTTTAGGATGACTTGGTCAAAGTCCCATGGCTTCGTCGTCTCAGGGCCATTAGGAATTGTGTTTTGATTAAACATAGGCACAAGTGACTGAAAGGTATTTTATTAGCAGCCATGAGTTTCCTCCTAAAAAATATCTTCTCAATCCAAGTTAAATTTTTGGTTCAAGTCTAAGTTTTGATGTCTTTTAGGGTAGATTTTATGTCATTTCTGTTATGTGGGTGACACGCCTGAAAATGTGCTACTCTTTTATATGCATTTAATGTTTTTTTTATTGATATTACAGTTAAAAGGAATGTATTTTTGTAATTTTGATTGCAGGTACAATATGTTAAGAAATTGGAGTAAATGGAGCGAAAATGGAGCAATTTGGAGTCAAATGGAAAAGGAAAGAAAATTTTGACATGGTGCCTTGGTTCAACAATCTGGCGCCAATATGCCAAACAACTAATTCAAGCATCTAGAAGGCTAGTGCCTCAACTCCACGGTTGGGCGCCTAAACACCAGAAACTGACTTGACATTTTTTTAAGCCTTTTGGACAGATTTTCGAAGGGTGGGGGTGTCCATTCGAGCGAGGAGGAAGCAGAAGATTCCAAGGGTTAAAAATGCAGGGGAAGAGGAAAAAAAATGAGAGGTTTCTTTCATTTATTGCATTTTTGAGTGATATTTGGGTGAAATTATTAGGTGAGTTTGAGAATTCTTCGAAGTAACTTTATAAGAATTTCTTAGGGAGGAATTTGAGATAAGTGCTTTGTATTTTTGTTTGAGTTTTGTTAAATTTTATTATGAAAACCTAATTTTAAATATTAATCCATGTGTTTTTATATTTTCCCAATGAAATCTGAGTAGTTGCTTTTATCTCTCCTTGTGATGAGAAATTATCACTTGTAGGATTAAATTATTTAGAATTGGTTTTATTTCAATATTGTGATGATATATTACTTCACACTTAATTTACTTAGGCAATTTGGCCAATTGTTTAGTTAAAACATATTGTGAAAATATAATGACCCGGGAGAGCTATGTTTTTCCTTAATTAGTAATTACCAAAAATAATCTTGGGGTGAGTGCAAATAGATAGGGACATAAGTTTTGATAAGTGTAAATTCGTGATTCTTGGGTGATCGGCTAAAACCTTAACCAATTTGATCTATGCTAGGTTAGCCAAATTGAGGGCTTACGTCGGTATTTTAGGTTGACAGGCTAGAATCTACTCAACATAACCAAAGATTTAGAAAATTAACTCTAGGTTAGTCAATGTTCTTTATGCACTCGAAAGAGGGTAAAGAATTGACATGCTCCTATTTGTCACAAAACTATATTTAAATTTATAAAAATTTGATTCCTACACTGAATATGACCTCATTGCGGACTTTCACATAATTTGAGCACTTCTACATAACATTAGTTAAGAAACACTTAGCATTTTCTTTAAATTTAGAAATAGAATTAGTTGGTATAAGTACTCCTTTTTACACATATAATTTCAATCTTAATTCTTAGATAAGTTACCTACAGTTTAAGTAGAGTTTTATTAAGTCTATAAAAAGAGATTTTCCTTCCCTATGGGATTGATACTTGGGACTAAAAAAAGTCCTCTACCACCGGAATGATACGTGCACTTGCATTTTTATCATAATGAATTTTTGAAATTAATAATTAGAAAATATATTTTAAAATTAGTATTACCTACATCACTATGAGTATCCTATATAAAAACATAAAATTATATTATCAGCATAAAAAGCTGTCAAGTTCTTAGCACCGTCGTTGGGAAAGCAATAGAACTTTTGACTTACAAATTTTAGTTGAAATGTAGACTTATTTTAGAATATTTAAAGTTTTGTTTTTCTAAATAAGTGCTTTTTTGTGTGTCAAATATAAATATAAGTATTTTTGAGTCTTTTGTTTAATTTTACTTTCCGAACTTCTACTTTTTAATGTATAATTCAGGATCTAAAGGTTTAGTACCCTATGGTTCTGAGTTAGAACGAGCTATTAGAAATTTTTTTAAGAAAAAGAACTTCACAATTTTAAAAAAAATGGCGAACACATCACATAACAACTTAGACAATCATAGGTTGACAATGAACATCATCACGTGCAAAGTCCTTTAAGGGATTATGCAAACTAAAACAAATCAAATTTACCTCAGCATACAAATGCCTGCTGCAGCAGCTAACTCTTTGGACTTGAAACCCACTATAATCCAAATGATACACAACAACCAGTTTGGTGGAACTCCATTTGAGGATCCAAACTTACACTTAGATAGTTTTCTAGAATTTTGTGCTTTATTTAACTGCGATAGTATATCAAATGATGTGGTTAGACTCAAACTTTTCCCTTTTTCTTAAGGGATAAAGCTAATATGTGGTTGAACTCTTTAGCACCCGGATCTATCAAAACTTGTGGTGATTTAGCACAAAAAATCCTAGCTAATTATTTTCCAGTATAAAAAACTTCTAAG